GGAGGTGGTATTTGGATAAGGTGTACATTTGGTTTAATAGGATAATTGCTGTTCCAGAAGCTGGACAGTAAAGACCTCCTGAATGATTTTGCTACCTTGAAAGTTTGACGCACGGCATACATATTTAATGGTTTTAAATTAGGGATGGAACGGTTCAAGTAAAAAATCTGGACCGTTTGGTTCAGTTAGTCACGGTTCGGGGCAAGCATGTATTGTTTGGTTCAAGGCATCCGTAGAAATTAATGTGAAACTTATCAGTTGGTGCGGATGAATGTCGAGTGTGGAGTGCAATATTCACAAGTTCAGTTCAGCCTTTTTCTGCCGAACATGCAAAACAAGTGGCAGTAACGCTGTATTTTTATTCAAGTGACACTTGATGGCTGCATTCAAATAGTAAAAAAAAAAATGACGTCCTATCCACCAATTCCTAACCCCTTTTCTTACACCTTTGAAAAAATGTCATAAGGTTAAGGAAAGGTGTGAAGGGGAGTTCCTAAGAGTTTAGGAAGACAAGCGCGCTAATAAGAGAATCCAAATGCACTTACACTAGTCAAGGTGATCATGCATCTCTCACCCCTCATGCTCATTTGCTTTCGTGATTGGCCGGATGAATGGCGGTCGCTTTAAATATTGCTGCCACACAGAACTGTGGGATAGCGTTATCTCCTTTCTTTTTGAAAAGGATGGTTCTCTGTACCCTATGCTTAAGGAGGAAAATTAGGAAGCACAGAGACAGCTTTCCTTAACAAGTGTTAATATGTTCCTTATGTTCTTAGCCAGAATTTTGTTTGTTGTGAACTTTTTTTGCCAAATAAATGAAAAGTAATGCCTCCCCTCCCGCTGTACAAAAATACATACGGAACCAATCCAAAAACCATGACACCAAAACCGTGATACAAACCGAACCGTGAATTTTGTGAACTGTTTCACCCCTATTTAAATGCATGCCATGCGTCAAACTTTCACAATGCACTAATAACCAATTTACTAAATTTTTCAATTACCAACGCTTCAACTTAAGAAGTGTAGGTAATTTAATAAGTTAATTATTATCGCTTGGCGTGGCAACCAGCATGCAACTATGCTTCCCTGCAAATGCAACCTATTCTTTTGGACGCTGAAAACATTATGATTTAGTGCAATCTTAAAATAAATTAGGTTTCTCTGCTGAAAAAAAAAATCCTTGAACGGGTGATGGAATTCAGGGAAAGCACTGGGTTAATTAATTTTTTTTTTTATTATTTGGTTTTTATTCCATCCACACAATATCACTATTAAGTACATTGTCAATGTTGCCCTTCAGTGATCTATCATTTTTTCATACTTTCTGAATAATCACAGGCTTATATATTGGCCTTGATTATTCAGTAAATAAATTGTGTGATTATTAATCAAGCTTGAAAGCAATTACACGTTTAAGGGCCACATCATTTGAAAATCTTGTAACGCCAGCGTTACTACTAGGGGGATGTTGGGCTTTAGGAAGTTAATCTGCTGAACCAGCAAGCATAGACAAATGTCATTAAAACGACTCTGACATAGAGGTAGTGGTATTAGCTGCACGTCTTTGCAAATGTCATTGTAATTAGCTTTCTTTACTCATGATGCAGTGCTGTAAATTGTACAGTAGCCCTCTTGGAACAAAATAAGTGCATCCAATGGCGATGATGAGCCGATCTAACTGGACAGTAAGTGTTTTAGCCCTCACTCCAATATAACAGGAAAATCAGATTCTTTTAGTTTACACCGACAGCCACGGTCTGAAACTTCCAACAGACGGATCAGTATGGTGGCCAAGGGATTAATAAATTCATTTCTTTATTTATTATTTTTTTATTTAATTTTTTTTTTTTAATTTGGCATCTCCAATCCCATCCGAATCTGGAATGCCCAATTCAAGAACTATGTACAATGTTCATAAGCGACCCCATGTTGCCAACTCGGGAGGGAGGGACGGTTCGCGGCTCTCCTCTGAAGCACGCGCCCGTCAACTACTGCTTCTTTATACTCATAAGTCGAAACTTCAGAAGCTCAGAACGAGGGCAGAGGATACCTGAACATGAGCAAGCTTAGAGTCTTACCAACAAGCGCCCGTCTGGCCAACAGGAGGCACTTTAGCAATGAACAAAGTGACTATTTTTCATATCCCATCCTAGCAGTCCCTTCCCAATTTCCATCCCTGCAGCACAAGGCCACTTGTGCGTTGCTCTGAAAAAGCGGCTGACTACTGCCGGCTGGCACGGCTGGGGATCAAACCCGCGCCGTAGTTGTCACTACTGCTCCGCAATGTGGTGCCTTAACCGACTGAGGTAACCCAGCAGCTGGGGATTAATTTTTATGAGGAGGAATAGTTTCAGTGGTGTCTAACAAGGGGGGATTTTGTCAATGAATCAAAGGAGCTTTGGAAGTGGCCTTATTACACATATGCAATTGCACATCAGTGCAAGGATTTGGAAGGGAATATAAACTTTAGCAACATATCGGCAAGGAGACATGATTGAAGGAAGTTGTTATAAGAGTGAACGTGACCTTGGCTAGGAATGTCAGGAAATTTGGACTCTCCTAAATTGTTTGTTGAAACATGCTCAAACATAAAAAAAAAAACTATGAAATATTAATTTTTGGTTATGTAATCATATTATTTCAATCTGCAGTTGTTTAGGTGTCTGGCTGTGGTTGTATTATTTTTTTCGCAGTGCCACAGGGGCAGAATAAAACATAAAATATTTTTCTGACTGACAAAACCTTATATTTCCAGTGTTGTTCCTCAGCTTGAGTAGTGTTTTTAGCAATTCTAACTATCCAGGAGTAATCTACTGAGTGTCAGCTTTCAAGTAAGACCAATATTATGTCTGTAGTCAAAGTGGTTCGAGAACAGTAAGCATTTTAGTTTTGGAGGAAATTCGCTTATAGAAGGACTGCACGTTAAAGAGTTAAATAAGAGCTGAAAATGTGCACTTAAACACACAGGAAATGTCTGATAGCAAATCTAATATGTTTTCATCCAAAGATTTTGGAGGGCATGATATTTGTAATTGGTTGAAATGCAAAACTTTCCCTTATGTCAGTTATTGCAGGTTTAAAAATGAAGTCATTAAGAGTACCTCAATGGGAATGAGAGTAAGGTGTTCAAGTATTTTGCTCTGGGTGAAAAAATTTCATTGCTGGTGCTCAGTCAGTACGTTTACATGGCACTTGAAAAAACCGAATTATTGTCTTAATCCGACTATGACTGGACAACTTAAGTGCATGTAAACATGTTACTCCAACTATAATCGGAGTTCTCCAACTCCGATTAAGACACCCAGATAATGCGATTGGAATTCGAATTTCTCCTGCATGTATACGCCTTAATCGCAGTTTAACTAGACAATGCACATGCGCATGCGCCACGACCCGCGCGCTGGCGTATGACCCCGGAACAAGAAAGAAAGCTTATAAAAAGATCTGCGCGTCATTCGGAAATTCTCTCTCCATTCTGCATCTGAGAACTCTTTCATTACGACTCTCTCCCACCAGTCTGTGCTCCGTACACGCATCCAACAAGAACGAGGGGTCCGGGTCAGCAGCGACGGCAAAAAGTTCAAAATCGAAGACATGCTATTGTTTTAGCCCTCCAACAGCATGCGGCGTTCTTGTCTGCCCCTCCAAATCACCATAGCCACAAGGGACAACGTGCACTTTATCTGCACAATGAGTAACGCGAACATTATGTACTGAAAAGAAAAAAAAGCTGTTCGATTGTCCATCTTGTTGTTGTTGTTTGAGGATGCGGTGCTCGCGCTCCAGTATTTGGACGTAAAGGGGTCAACCAGAAAGGGGCCGATACCCCGCTGAAACGCCGCAGACGCCCGCTAGTGTTAAGGAGGAGAACGACATGCTCCCGTCAGTAATTCGATTTTCTCAGTTTCATGTAAACTAGGACAAGAGACAGAAGTCCGACCAGACGCCAAAACCGAATTATGAGCATAGTCGGACTAAGCTCTGCATGTAAACGGACTGAGTGAGATGTGTTTAGGGTCACAGATTAACACAGAGAACGGATAATGTTTTTAAACAGTTGTGTGGATCACAAAGATCATTCCCTTGCCAATACTCTCTGTTTCACCAAAAGGCAATGAGGAAATTAAAGCGCCTCCATGGCTGCTTCCCATCGGAAGCAGGGAAGCTGATCCACCATTGTTCTTATGGGAACCACTCTTCAGCGATTCAGAGCCAGCACTTTGATCCATGGGGAAAACGAAGCCCATACGGCTCCCAGGGATTGGAATACCTTGGCAAATTATTCTGTTGGTTGTCCCAAGACAATAGGCCTTCCGCAAACTGGTTGACTCTTCTTCAAAGTCACACACCCTCAAACTAAGATCTCATTGTGCAGTATGAGCTTCATCGCTAAATACTGCCTGCAGGTGCGAGCACCCATTTCCCTGTCATTCTCAAGACAAATGGCTCTTTCTAATGCAAGTTCTTTTTTTTTTATCTGAGCAGCAGACACTTGGCAAATTTTTATAACACTATGCTGTTGAATTAAATGGGAGTGGTGCTTCCTGAAAATTTTCATGCCCCTTTGGGAGTAGTGTGGACCTTTTTATCATTGAACTTATTCAGGGATTCCATTAGAAATAGAACCATGATCACTGGATCTTTGGAAAAAGAATTAAGTCTCTCCAATTGTCGTAACAAAAGTCAGTATGGTGGTATACCAGGTCAGGCCTACCAAAGAAAACGGCCAAGCTGTAATAAAACTTTGTCAGATGTCTACCTTTTTCAAATAACCAGCAACACAAAATCAAAAACATGTCACATTCCTGCTAAACTTCACATCACAACACTCTGAAGTCGATACATTTTCACCAGAGCTAAACTCAAAAAAATCGCACGCCTGTAACAAACCCAGAGACGAACCAAATGAGTTTTCAATTGTGCATTGCTGGTTCTTTGAAAAAGGTAGACATCTGACAAAGTTTTGTTACAGCTTGGCTGTGTGGCAGGCTGAAGGAAGACCCGATCGGGGAATTGAACCCCAGACTCCCGGGTAAGAGTCAAATGCGCTGACCAAATCGCCAAAAAGCCAGGCTCATTGGAAAAGTAGCCAGGGCGTGCACTTATTAGGAGGCATTTCTAGTGACAGCACCCATCAACTGTCACATCTCTCCCCCTCCTTCTGGAGCGTGTCCTCACGCTCCATGCTCTACGCATGCTGCCATCCATTGGGATCCCCCTAGATCCTGCCGATTACACCAGAATGTGGCACGCTGAAGGAGGGCCCAGGCGGGGGATTGAACCCCAAACTCCCGGGTAAGAGTCACACGCGCTGACCACATCGCCAAAGACCCAGGCTTGTTGGCAAAGTAGCCAGGGCGTGCACTTCTTAGGCATTTCTAGTGACAGGACCCATCAACTGTCACAGCTGATTTCTTTGGTAGGCCTGCAAGGTGACATGCTTTGATGATACTGTCCTCATGCAGAATTTTTTTTTTCTCACTGGGCACTTATTTACTGTGGGAAATGCTCACAAAATTATACATATTCATATATAATGCATTTTGACACACATCATTCTGTTTAATGTGCGCCATGCCTCAATTTTTTTGTTGATTATCATATCATATCTCATTGTTGCTGTTCCAGTTCAATAAAGTCTCTTTCAGGAAAATGGCTGGCCTTGGTCATTTCTGATCTCTCCATTTCTGCTGTCAGGAATCTTTATGTTAGAAAAACTCAATCAGTTTGAGCGCCTGGCTGAAAACACTGTGAATGGCTCACAAATATCCAGGGAATATCTGTCATTTTAGTACAGCACTGAATTCCTTTGTAATTCACTGAGCTTGCCCTTCAACAGTTCCCCCCACCCCAGGAAGATAGACACTATGGGAGCTAAGTGCTAGATGTATGCAGTCGCCTAGTTTGGCCACAGAAGATCGTGAGGGAGAGTAAAGGGGGGAATTCATGGCTCAACTAGGGCAGAGTATGTAGGACTAGATGTGGGAATTGGGGATCAAACTAAGTGGGTTTCATAATTTCAAACACTGTCTACTAAAAAAAGACATTATTAGAGTGCAAACTAGGGAATGAAAAACTCTGTGTCATGGTCATGTGTTTTGATGTCATGCCTCATGTTATGGTTATGTCTTTTCTTTATTCTTTTTGATTATTGTATATTCCGGTTTTCTGTTCCTGCCATTCTAGGTCTCATTGCACTTGTTCTCCCCTGTCTTGCGATCAGTTAGTTCAGTCCGTTTTCCCAGTCTGTGTGCTTACCTGCCTCGGGTGATTTCAATGGTTTCTGGTGTTTCATATTATTACTTCAATTCTCGTTTACTTCCTTTGCCTTGCTTTCCTAGATTACTAATAATACTAACAATTATATTGTGTAGTCTACTAACTCAACTAATCCATGTATATATTACTAACTTACTAATGAACACTTCAGTTAATTTGTAAAGCTGCACCTCTACTAATTATTACTAATTCAATCTCAGCAATTGCCCTGTTCTAGTCTCCGCCTCTTGGTTTGCTTTCTCTGCCTCTCCCTGCGTTTCCGCGAGATTTCTCGCACGTGCTTAATTGCTTTCCTGCACTCATTGTCTGTGCACTTAGAACTCCTTGACCGGAGCTGTTTATCTGTTATAGGCTGTCTGCGTGGATCCCATCCGTGTCTTGGCTTTTGCCAATTGTTGTGGTTTAGGACTTCCCCATGTGTGCCTTCCTCTGTAATTAGTTCTTATCCAATTCACCTGTTCCCTGCATAGCATGTGACTTCTCTTGTGTCTATTTAGAGTCTTCACTGCTGTTCAGCCCTTGTCAGAACGTTGATCAATTTTCCTTTGTGCAGAGCTTGTTGTATGCCAATCGATTATTGTTTCTCCACGGCTGTCTCGCCCGACCTTGATTTTGCCTAAGCCCTTCTGTTCTTGTTTTTGTCTTTTTGGATTTTTGACCTATTTTCTGTACGACCACGTTTACTGTTTTGGATGCCCTGTGTATGACCCTATGCTCTGGATTTCGACTTCAATTTTGGCCTGCTGTCTATGTACCATCGCACCTCTGCTTTACTGGTTTTGACCCCGACCTGTCTAGTCGACTTTGCTTTTTGGATTTCGTTTTTGGCTTGGCAATTCTTGTGTCTTCTGGTCCTGACCCTGCTCTCAAAGGCATACGATTTTTGGATTTCCTGCTCTCGCGTGTGGTTCCTGAATGCACCGTCACACTCCGTGGCTTTAATTTCTTTATCAAACCTGCTCTGCCCTACAAAGCCTAAGTGCAGTAACTACACACTGGGTAAAATGTGAACTATGCAGTTTTAGGCCTGAAAGCATATGGAGGTTAGGATTTATTTGGATTGAAATTATACCATGGCCAGTCAATTAACCATAATGTCAGATGTGTTAACTATTCATTTGTTGGGTCAGCTGAACTTTGAAGCCATTTTTTACTGTTTTGCTTTGATATCATAGCAGTTAAAGCATAAGTATAATGTTAATTGGCCCTAAAGGTTTTCCGCACAATAAATGATACTTCAAAAAAATTTGAATACTGATGTGATCTGCTGGTGTCCGCTGGTGATTGTAGTTATGAGTTGGTAAAAAAGTAACATCAAGGACTGGCCTTGTCCTTCAGGGGCAAAAAGGGGCAGAGGATCGCCAATCTGCCCTCAAATACGTGTGAAAACTAACAGGTTTAAAAACAATGTACCTCTGCGAAAGAGAGGGGGATTTGGATTATTTCACCCTCTACCATGCATAGCATAATAAAAAAATTCAAGGAATCAGGAGGAATTTCTGTGCATAAAGGGCAAGGGCGCCAGTCGAAGCTGATTTCCAGTCACTCGGGAGGCACTGTCCAATCACTCGTTTGGCACTGCATCGAGAACCATCATTTATCCATAAGTGATGCAACCACACGGGCTCAGGACTACTTTGGCAAGTACAAGGGGAGAACCAGTTCAAAAATAACACAAAAGTAATGTGTTTTTTCTGTGCACCGAGTAGCGTGTGTAACGGGTGCCATGGCAACGGCACCGCGGTGAACAGATTAACTCTTGTAACACAGGAGAGGAACGAGGAGACAGCGTGTCAGGTTCAAGATCTCTGCAGCAATGAGGAAAATCAACAATGCACACAACTAAGCCCGTCACCTGACCCTGCCCCCTGCTGGCCCGGAGCGAATACATCACTAATCATAATCACTCCAAAGGAAGAAAGTCAACTTGCCATATATAAATCTTGGGGATATTTTTTTTTTTTCAAAATAAAAAACATTAATTGTATTCAAATAAAAGACAATAATTCTGAATACTTTCATTCTCTCAAAACACAAATGCAACACTTTTGTGGTCGTCACACACTCCCCGGCAAAAAGAAATGGGTCCCACCATTTTCTGCTCAAATTTCATTAACTAAAATTCTGCTTTTTCTTTCTAACAGGCAACAGAACCTGGTAATATGTATGGTGGTGGTGTTAAGGTGTAAGGCGTGTATGCAAATGTGGGGTAAAGAGTAGAATAAGGGTTAAATGCATATGTTGGTGTTATACAGGGGATAAGTGAGTGTAGGGGTTGGGTGATATGAGGTACAGTGCAAGCAGGTGAGTGTAAGTTTGTGTTTGCCATATTGACTGTGGCTTGTGTTGTCAGTGTGGGCTGACTAAGATTCTCATAGGTAAAGATCTGTCTAGGCTGTCGGTCCGGCCTGGATCTTCTGACCTCTGTCTGTTTGTCTGGGGCCCTATCGACCAGAGGCTGTTCTTCCAGGATGGGCTCTGGGGCCTCGTCATATCCATCTTGTTCGTCAGGTCCAGCAACAGGGGTTTCATCCTGTTCAGGGTTCTCTGTCTCTACTTCTCTTACAGGCATCAGGGCTGCTCCAGGTAAGTAGTCTACTATAGCTCTCTCTTCTTCCTGTGCAGGTACTGGGACTGGACGACTCAAAGTGATGGCAGGTCGTCGTTGTGGGGCTACAGCGGGTATCTCCTGTATCCGTTCTGCTGGTACCCTCAGCCAATAACGATGACCGTCTGAGTCGTCATCAGAGTCTGAGTCTGAATTTGATTCTTCCTGTAGGTCTGCACGCTCTGGGATGTTGGTACGTCGGGTCTGGCATTTACTTCTTGTTGTTCTCTTTTCAGACACGGCATGGCATGGAGGAGCTTCAATTGGGAGGTCATTCACTAACAACAGCAGTAGTGTTCTTGTTTTCTTCTTGTCCCCAGACTCAGGGTACACTACGTATACTGGATTGTCCGCATACTGTTCTTTAACAACGTAGATGGCCTTCTCCCAGTACGACCGTAGTTTTCCTGGTCCACCACGCTCACTGAGGTTCCTGACTAAGACCCTATCGCCAGGCTGTAGTACCACTCCCCTTGATTTCTTGTCATAGAGCACTTTGCCTTTGGCACCGGCCTGTTTGCTATTCTCACTGGCAATTCGATAGGCTTCAGACATCTGCTTTGCCCACTTCTTTGCATATCCTCTTTGCGAGTCAGGCTCTGTGTCTTCGACCAACCCGAACAACAAATCAATGGGAAGACGAGGATGACGGCCATAAAGAAGGAAGAAGGGCGAGAAGCCTGTCGACTCGTGACGAGTACAATTATACGCATGTACAACCCGCGGAATTTGGTCTTTCCATCTTTCTTTTTCTTTGTCAGTTAACGTTCTCAACATCTGGACTATCGTCCGATTAAACCGTTCCGCAGGGTTTCCCTGGGGGTGGTACGGTGATGTTCTCGAATGACGAATACCTGACAGCTGTTGAAGTGTACGAAAGAGCTCATTCTCAAATTCACGGCCTTGGTCGTGGTGCAACTTTGATGGGTATCCGAAGCGGTGGACGAAATCATTAAAGATGCGCTCAGCTGCTGTCTTTCCACTCTTATTCTTTGTTGGATAAGCTTGAGCGAATCTTGTGAAATGATCAACTACCACAAGGATATATTCATAACCACCACGGCTGGTCTCTAGGTGTAAATAGTTGATACACACCAACTCTAATGGCGAGCTTGATGTGATACTACCCATTGGGGCACGAACATGAGTAACTGGCTTCTTTGATTTTATGCATGGACATTTC